GCTCTCCCGAGAAAAAGGGAGAGCTTTTGGGACTCTACTCCTATCCAGGAGTACTCACCTCGACCCCTTCTCCCGGGGCACAAGGTTCCAAGCCGCTGAACAGCTGCTGACCGCTGTTCATGCTGGCTCTGACGCCTTCCCAAGCGGACGGCTCCGAAAAGAGCCGCCATCGGCGCGCCGTCCCACCGGAAGTCCCTACTTTCTCCTTTTTCTTAAACTCTAGTGAATTAGTGAGCAACTGGCCTGAGCCATTTCGAATGTTATCTCATTGTTCTGGACTTTAAAGTCCTGTTTTCCTAAGTAATGATTCCTTTATATCTGGGGTGTCAAACTCAATTTCATTGAGGGCTGCATCAGCATTGCGGTTGCCCTCGGGGGGTCGGGGGGGCATGGCCAGGGTGGGTGTGGCCTACTGGGTGGATGTGGATAGAGTGGGTGTGGCCTATTGGGTGGGCATGGCCAGCTCTACATTGTTTGATTCAAGGGTGCCTGTGGGGATCTGGGCAGGAGTGGGACAGATCTGAGGGTCTCTGGCAGAAAGAGGTGGGACCGGGGCAAGTGCCAAGGCATGGTCCACTGGAGGAGCCTCACTGCCTGCTGAAACCCGTCCGCTGGAGCCCATCAAGCCAGATATGTGAAGTAGGCGAGGGCCATTTGCTGGCGATGGTGCATTTCTTCATTCCTCACAAAGGGTGACTCCTCCCCAGCATGCACCCAGGGGGCGGGGCTGACACGGCAGGGGCTGGTTCCTCGCTGTTTCCAGATGGCCTTCTGGAGTTAAGACTGAATGCGTTTCAGCATAGATGGCCACCACAAAATTGTACATTGGCTCCCGGCCGACCTGGGCCAGGGCCAAGGCAGTGGAAGCCGTTCCCTCACTGTTTCCAGGATGGCTTCGAGGGCCACATGAAACCACTTTGCGGGCTGCATCCGGCCCCCGGGCCTTGTGTTTGACATGTCTGCTTTATATCCCTAGTAGCAAATATTGTTACAGTAGATAAAGCCTCAAATCTTTTTCTTATTAATAATAGTTATTTCTCCAATATTTTACATTAGAGATAATAGTTGGAATCATAATAAAAATATACCCTCTTTCTCAAAAGAAGAAATAATTTCTAAATCTGTTCCATTTGAATGCGGTAAAGTTCTAGCACCTAAAAGTGGGACTGAATTATTACTCTGAAGAGTTGCAAGGATAACTTAAAATTTAATATGATTCGCTTTTATGATTGGTCTACAGAAATAATACTGCATTACAACACTATACGATGAAAATCTATGTTGTTCCTTATACTGACTTGATGTCATATAGCCAATTAATCAGTCAATAACCCTACACTAAATATTGGATCTCTAGCTGTTTTTCTAACTAACACAGAGGGTGGATATTTACATGAAGAGTAAGGCACCAGATTAAACACATTATAAAGAATAGGTATGGGCAAATTGATCAAAAGTATTTTATTTCCTCCCTCCACTATTTCAGGTTATTTTATTTTCCCTTTAAAAGTTCAGTTTCTGCCATTCCCATACTAGTTAAAAAAATTCTTTTTAAAAATTAGTACAAAAATTATCTGCTTTTTGTGAATATCTTCAAACATTTGCATTCATTTCTCTTTCAAAGAAAAGAATGAAGACAGAATTTGCAAACAAATTGCCTTGATATAACATATTAGACATTATTTTTCATGAATGTATGTGTCTGTATTTTTATATATTTAAGTGTGTACTTATATTGCACACATATATATTGAAAAACATGTTTAACGTAAGTGAATTATATTGTAAAATTCAGAAAAGCATAAATGATGAAGGCTAAATATTTTTTATTTATATACTGTGATTAATGGAGCCAAGATACCTTTTCATTTTTTAGTTTTTAGTTTTTCACATGATTTGTTAGGCTACTTTACTACCAGAAATACCAAATATCAAGTACCAAATTCTGCTGCTCAAGAACCTAACAGTCATGTGACCCTCTCCGTCCTCCTCCCCTCCCCACAAGTGTCAAGGATGATATTCTTTGTATTTAGCAGATCTTAAAAATGCCCTAGTGGCCCTTGCCAGTTCTTCCTGCTTTCCTATTAAATCTTTTTTGCCCATTTATAGCATT